AGAAATACAAACATATTAAATGTGAACATGCCAAATCGGATACTGCAATTCAGCAATTACACATTTGTCATACAATCTTTTTATCAAGTGCCCTTGAATACTGCAGAAAGAGGTTCTATCCATTCCCATCATCTTTATTTCATTTTGACCTGCATAATGGACTTAAAAAGTTAAAAGTTAAACACATCCTAGTTAACTGGTAATTATCCTTTACACATCAGTCACAATGTATGTGGGGTCAATGTTCAATCAGCTTGAATTATAATACAAGGTAGAATTCGACTGCATAAACTATTACAATCAGCCTGAAATTCAATGCACTGTAATGGAAACCATGGGGGTTTAAGTGTTATTAATCAGTGTGAGTTCAATTTTGAGAAGGAACTCTCACTCAGCACTTATTTTACTTAGCCACTACCAGAAGAGTAGCAACAAATCACTGAAGTGGTCATAGTGTTATGGACAGATGAATTAAAATAAAATGGCTATTTACTAATGTCTATTTATTCTGTGTTCACTATGTTAAAACTGGCTGCTAGAGTAAATATTCCCTCCCCCCCTACAATGTGTTCAGGCACTATTTTATCTCTGTAAATTCCTCGCATCCTGCTAGCATCCCCCTTCCCATCAGAGCAAGCTTCCTGTAACCAAAATTCCTGTGTTAACAGCTTCCTTTACTAACTCCTCCCCCACTTCCTTTGTGCAAAGTAACAGCTAACAAAATAGAGAATCACTGTTAAAGAAACTACTCCCTCCCCCTCCCATCGTGTATCCAATATAGGTGGGAAAAGTCTGTAATGACGACACTACATCCTGTAGGGGGGGTTTAGACAAGACCCCTTAGACTGTTAACCAATTGTTGAATGTATATTGTATGTTTAACTGTGACTCTGTACATGACGTATTTCTGCTTTAAAAGGAACTCCCACTCCAGGGAATAAAGCATTCCTTGGTTTTTCACTGATCAAAAACTTTGTCTCTGGTGTGAATTACTTTTAGGGAAAGCGTGCACGCATTAATTAATCAATTTGGAAGGTGTAGATAGACAAATTATCAAAGTTTTCTTTGATCCAAATCAGTTGGCGCAATTTCGAACAGGGACAAAAGGGTTATGTTACTAAGGAAGCCGTAAAATCCCAGGACCGGAGAGGAGACCCCGAGAGATTGGAAAAAAAGAGCCTGATCACCTCTGCATGTGGTAAATGAGTAACTTACCTATATTTTCCCGTCTTTGGAATTGGTCTGCACTCCGTTCCTTCACTCGGCTTCCTGTGGTTAACGTCTTCAGATAGGTAATATATATATATGCCCGAATGTCCCCTTTTATATAGAACCTGTCACTTGTCTATCTACAGCCTGAGTCCTGAGTGTGAGTTTTATGTGTGAAAGTGTCTGTTTGAGAATCTGTTTTACTTTCTTTTGATTATTGAGGTCGGGTTCATAGAAAAAACCTGGCGATTGAGTTCAGGGTGCAAAAACCTGGAGATTTAGGCCGGATTATATTAATATTTTAATATTAAATCTAGGCGTTTCTTTTGTTGTTTTTCTTTTAAGTTCAGGGTGCAAAAACCTGGCGATTCAGGCCGGATTATATTAAAAAGCTGGCGAGTTATGGTTTGGCCTCGTTTTGGTAAAAAAAAACCTGGCGGTTCCTTTGTTTTATTAAGACTCGGTTGAGAGTCTGGCGATTATTGAGTTCAGGTGTGCATAATAGCCCCTGGCGTTTTTTTGTTTTTTTGTCCGATTTAAATTAAAATTAGATCGTGGCGGTTCTTTTGTTGTTTTTGAGTTCAGTTTGGATAAAAAAGCTGGCGTAATTAATTTTAGTTTAATAAAATAATAATATTTTAATTTTTCATTTTTTTTTTTTTTTTTCTGGATCAGGATAGTAAATTTCCTGGAGGATTATTTTAGATCAGGATAGACGATATCCTGGCGTATTTGTTTGTTGAAATAATAATAAAAAAAAAAAACGAACAAACAAAGAGTTAAGTTGTTGTATATGTGCTTGAGTGTTTCTGTGTGTGTGATCTGAGTTGATTATTAGGACTTTGTGGTTTAATTGCATCTGTATATTGTGCTTTGGCATGTATATTGTGCTTTTGCATGTAAATGTCTTGTTGGGTACCATATATGTTAATTGTAATCTATACAATCTGTATCGTCACTCTCCTATTCTATCTTTTGTCCTAAGGAGAGCTGTGCTTAGGCAATCACATGGTTAATAAACGTTGTGCTTGCAAGTCTTCTCCCCCCCCTCCCCTCCTTCTTGGTTGCTTTCTCTTGCTCTGACTGCTATGAGTATTGGCTACAGGGGGGGATGAGGAATGTAAGGGAAATCTTCCAGCTGCTGGCCATTAACTGGCCATTAGCTGTTGAAAAAAAACAAAAAAAAACAAAGATCAGAAATGTTATGAAACTAGTCTGTACTTACAATGCATTGATTTGTAAACGAGATGCAGGTCAAGAAAATTTAGAATCAGCAGATAAAGAAATAAATTTGAATATGTTAACAGAAGACAAATCAGATTTAAATGACCAGTGTAACAAAGTAACAGAGCTGTGAAACTTAATTTGAAAATCCATTAACAATTAATGAAAATTGTGAAATGTATTCCAGTTTATGACATGTCAGTGGATGCATTTACTAATGCTGAAATATTTGAGTCAAATTTGGACAAATATAGCCTAAATGACGAACAAAGGAATAGACTATTTCAAACATGGCTGCCGACTCAAATGCATATAGACTTGTTAGTAATTTTCCTGAGGATCAGTTAATTAATGAATTTGTGAAAAAATGTCAAGATCTAGATTCAACTGCAATTGTAATTGAATACTTTGAAGGAAGTTGCTTTATTCTTAGATAAAGTAAAGAGGTATCCAGGCATGAAGGGGTTACACTGACTTGTTAGACGCAGAGAGAGAAGTGCAGATTTGACCCCCCTCCTTTTCCTCCTTAGAACTCAGTGTGAAAGAGCAATACAGATGCCTGAGCCACCCCCAATTGCCTCAACGGCAGAATATAACTAAAGTTATTTGTGTTTGGTGCAAATTATTTAAGATCTTGCAGATATTTGATTCTAGAGTTAAAACCAGCACAAGAATAGAGATATGTGTTTGTTTGTTTACTAACTTATTAGTCTGTACTGTTTTTTATTGTTTTTGTTAGTTTTTTTTCATTGTTTTTATGTATGTTATATTGGTTGTATGCTATTATACAGTAACTCCAATCATTTTACAGAAGGAAAAAACAATAGATTTATTCTTTGTTGCTTCTGAGGTTGATTTAAAATCTTTGATTTAATTCATGAGAATGAGATTTTAATATCATGACTGATAATGGATTACTGTATATTGCAACGCCTGGACATACACATGGTTTGGATATACTGAAGACAAAAGGAATAATATATGGGAATGGATAAGGCTGATTTCCCACTATCCACAGCCACGCCTACTCCAAAAGTAACATCACGTCCATCCTTACTATGCCCTTTTACTGTAGAATTGCCTGAATCCTAATGACCCATTCCACTACATGGTGTGACTTGTTTAAGTTACAGATAAATTGGCTGATCAGGCTACCTGTATTAACAATGTCATCAACGATGAGTTAGCCTCTGTGGAGAAGTATCACTTCAGGTTGTCCCAAATTTTCTTCTGACTTAGGTTTTAGTACATAATAAGGCCCATAACCAGCGGCTATATGCGGCCTTGTATAGCAGGCCACATGACATCTATTTGTAGCAAGCAAGGCCTGCCTGACTCCTCATTCCTGTCTAACATTGTTGTCTCCTGCATAAGTGTAGATGGCTCTCCTTGGAGTAGCCTGTTAACTAAGCCTTGCTTTGTGGTTACCTTCACCTGTCCAATTAATCTGCTAGGTGCAGATGTCCTTTCCCCACTTGCAGGCCCCTATCACCTTATTATTTCTTTTGTTCCACACAGTGAAACCTGACCAAGAGGCAAGGGTCCTAGCTAGTTCCCCCAATACCTTTACCTGAATTATACAGGCCCCAAAGCCTGTCCAAGCTCTTACTATTCCCTAACAGGTTAAGGCTCTGGTGTTGAATGGTGCCCTGGTTCCCTGAGACTTTCCATGCAATATCCCACCTCTCCTTGTGATGGACGAATTCTGTGCAGGATAGTGTCACCCTGCAGGGATGATACTCTATTTACCTGGCCACTCTTCTGCCACTTCCCAGGGGGGGAAATGATAAGACACTGACTATTATTTTTTTTAGCCTTTTCCTTATGATCTGTTCCGAATTTGCTGTCACTACAGTGGACCAAGTATCTCACCTCAACAATGTCTTCACAAGAAGCTGAGCTATAGGCTCCCATCACAGCATGCAAGATCTCTGAAGGAAGACTGAACTCAGAGGAAGCATGTGGCAACTCTCTGGCTGACCAAGTTGTTCAAGAAGTTGTAAGTGCACTAAGGGAAGTGGACAGAAAAGTGTCTGCTGAAGAAACTCCCATATTCACCATGTAAGATCCTACCCACAGACATCAAGCACCCGAAGGAATAACAAGCAGCTACTGACCCTGGAAAGAAAAAAAAAACACGCTGGAAACAGAAAGGGGCAACCCTTAAAGACAGTCTGTACTTCAACAATCTCAAGTTCTGCTTGCCCAAGAACATATACTCAGCAGTGGTCCAGTGGGCCTATAGAGCATCTGTCCAGAACCCTCATGAACTCTTTTGATCAATAAATACTCTGAAGTATCAGGAATAGCCTCTCTGACCAACAGTTACTGTAAATCTTGTGCCAAGGGCAACTCAGGAAGAATGGAGGAAAGCCCCAAGCATCTAGCCAAACCTCATTATCTCTTCCAGAGGAGTCAAGTTGACTACATCCAGAATGCCAAGGAGTGGCTGATTCAAATATGCACTAATTATAGCAGACATGTTTTCAGGATGGCCAGAGGCCTATCCAGCCACCAAAGTGATAACCAAGACCACATGCTGAGTAGTGCACCATGAAAGTTACAGAGATCACCCCGTGCATTCATCATTCCAGAATCAAGCCTGCCTCTGCATCATGTGAAGTAACATTTGTTGATCTTGACAACCCTTTTTGAAACTCCATTCTTAGAGAACAAATATACTTGTTGAAAATAAATAAATAAATAAATATCAACAAGTGGGTGTTTTGATGGCCATAATAATGCCTGACCACCTGCCATCGATGGAAAGCCGAATACCCCAAAAGGGGACCTCGTGAAACTAAAGAGAAACAGACATACTTTTTACCCTGCAGCCCTCACGTCTGAGGTGCCATACGCACAGTCAAAGCTTCTTCAGGATCATCTGCTTATTTTGAGTTTGTGGTGATATTAATATTGAATGTTTAAATGATCTGAATCTGCCAGTACTAGGGTAGCATGAGACAAGATTTCTAAGATTAAGAATAAGTAAATGTGCCCTAGCCAAGGTTATTATGTCCATACACATAACACATGGCAATCCCCAAGGTACTCTTGACACACCTCATTCATGCTTCAGGGCAAAAAGGAGTACCCCTATAAAGGGTGGTTTTACCCACATATATATATATATATTAATGCCATAGGGGTGTCAAGGGGGGTACCAAATGATTTTAAGGTAAGAAACTAAGTTTGAATCTATTCCCCCAAGCATTACGGCTAATAAAATCTGAATTGGAAGGGAAGAGGTTTATACAATAAACAGGAGACCTTTTCTTACAAGACATGTATGACTCAGCTGAATGGGTAGGTGCCACGCACATGACTGTTAATCCCCTCAAACCACACATTAGGACTTTAAAAGACATGGTAGTCATCCCATATTTGAGGATACTAGGGCTGTAGAGACAGGTTTCTCTGACACTAACTTGTGACTTGAATGGATGAAATACAATGCTACTAAACATAACAAGTCTAAATGCTATGTCTGCGGAGGAGCGAGGCCTCACCCAGGTACAGTATCCCTGAACCTTCCTCCGGATATGAAGTATGCGTTTTAAGTCTCTACACTGTATTTAAACCTAAGCGGTCAGCATGCGAGTCATGGAAACTTAATACCCAATCATTACTAAAAATATTAACCCAGACGAAGGCATTACTATATATCCATTGAACTATACTTGTTATGGGATATATGGTGGGATAGGGCGGTTACAAACTACCTCTCAGATGACCTTCCAGAATAGAATAAGCTTGGAAATGATTTTGGCAGGAAAAGGGAGAGTATGTAAAATACTCCCAGACACCATAACATGCTGTACCTATATTCCAGATAATACAGGCCCTAATGGTAAGGTAACGTTGGCAATAGAAAAGTTAAAGAGCTTGTCCAACGAGCTGAAACGAAATTCTGGGGCCACAGATCCATGGGAAAGATGGTTTGGATGGATGTCTGGATGGCAAGGTGCTCTGGCCCAAATAGGTGTTGCCATTTTAATAATGATAATCATCCTCGCTCTTCTTGTTTGTTGTTAAGAAATGCCTACAAAAGACAGTTGATCAGTTGACCACCCCGACCTTCCTTCACCAAGAGATTGACGACATAGACCGTGATACACCACATACACCCTTACAGTCCCACCGCACTAGATCAACAGCTACTTCCTCTTAAGGACATTCAGGGATAGCGTCTGTCTCTACGGGCAGAAGTCTGTCACGGGAGAAGTAGTGGACAAGCTGCTACGGGTCACCTGCGCAGTGAAGCGTTCGAGGCCTGTTCAGACAGATGTGCAAGATAGCCTTTGTTATTTTTCTATAGGGACAGTATTAGAGTGAGAGATAGTAGTTTCTAGTAAAATTGCCATTTTAAGGGGGGACTGTTATGGACAGATGAATTAAAATAAAATGGCTATTTACTAATGTCTATTTATTCTGTGTTCACTATGTTAAAACTGGCTGCTAGAGTAAATATTCCCTTCCCCCCTACAATGTGTTCAGGCACTATTTTCTCTCTGTAAATTCCTCGCGTCCTGCTAGCATCCCCCTTCCCATCAGAGCAAGCTTCGTGTAACCAAAATTCCTGTGTTAACAGCTTCCTTTACTAACTCCTCCCCCACTTCCTTTGTGCAAAGTAACAGCTAACAAAATAGAGAATCACTGTTAAAGAAACTACTCCCTCCCCCTCCCATCGTGTATCCAATATAGGTGGGAAAAGTCTGTAATGACGACACTACATCCTGTAGGGGGGGTTTAGACAAGACCCCTTAGACTGTTAACCAATTGTTGAATGTATATTGTATGTTTAACTGTAACTCTGTATATGACGTATTTCTGCTTTAAAAGGAACTCCCAATCCAGGGAATAAAGCATTCCTTGGTTTTTCACTGATCAGAAACTTTGTCTCTGGTGTGAATTACTTCTAGGGAAAGCGTGCACGCATTAATTAATCAATTTGGAAGGTGTAGATAGACAAATTATCAAAGTTTTCTTTGATCCAAATCAATAGTACTTGAAGTAACCCTTTAATTAAGCAGATCTGGTGTATAAATTATGCCCCTGCAGACTCACTGCTCAATTTTCTGCTGTTTAGGAATTAAAATAATTTGTCTATGTAACCCTAGCCACATCTCCCTTGGCTGTGACTCACACAGAATAAACACAAAGTTGGTTTAATTTTCAATCAGATCTTACAGCACAGTGTTTACACTTGGACTTTCTTATCTCCTGCTCTACTAATTGAACCTTATTTAGACAAAAGAGGCTGCTGCAGGCT